TACACAAACACACGCACGAACGTACATAACAGCTGCCGTTTTAGTAAATAACATAATTAATAGAAATTCACCTTTGCCTGCTGATCTTTTTTCAGTTCCTAAACGCAATACACGACATGCTTCGAATGGTAATTTCAATCTGCCCAAATGTTTTAATGTTTACGGAGAAAGACTGATACAGTTTAATGGAACAAAAATATGGAACACGGTTCCCCTAGAGATTAAAACGGCACGTAATTTCAGCATGGCGTGTAAATAATTTTTTCTGTGGAGTCAAGACATGTAAACATGTGTGTGTTTGATTCGATTTTCATTGTATTTTTTTTCTGCAGGAAAAAATGTATTACTGTGTTATCTGTATTATATGATTGTTTTTTTGTTTTTTTTATGTTACCTCAGAGCTGACCTGTACACTTTTTTATGTTGCACATTGTATTGGACCGTCCACTAGCCACTTTAGGCTATCGGTCCAAATAATCCCTGTAATTACATATATCTATTCATGAAAATAAAGTTTCATTGATTGATTGATTGATAGCTGTAAACACCCCCCCCCCTCCCTCCATAAAATAATGGACAGAGGGTCGGCTTCTATTTGCCTAAGAAAAAGAAAGGGGGGGGGGGGGGCGTTTTGAAACCGTAATTGTGCGCTGAGTGTAAATACCACAAAATGAATACGGCACCACTGTCCCCGAAATTTGAATTCATGCTTGTTTACGCACTGAGGTTCACTTATGCACAATGCACCTCGTCAACGAAGGCTTCCTTGGCACTGTCATTACGCTGTATGGGACGTTGTTAACATGAGAGACTCATAAAAAGTGCACTGTCTAGGCTGTGACGTCAGCTTTTGTACTCCTGTCCAATATAGTATAGAATGACGGGGATGCTTCTCTCCGTTAAAAGGTCTTAGCCACTAATTGTTGTTGCTCGGGGGTAAGCGCATTACGGAATGCGCAGAGGTATAGAGCAGTTTAACGCATCAGAACAGCGCACGGCCTTTAAAAAGGTGTGGGTTCAAGCTAGTCGGTAATCCATGATCAACTACTTCGTGCGCAAGATTTCTTAGACAACGGACGAAAGAGACAAGGACGGGAGAAATCCGTGCCTTTTTCGTGTCTTTCGCGTGTCAACTCTTATCTAGCTGTTTCGTGTCAATCCGTGTCTTTTGTGCCCGTCAATGTCTATTTCGTCCGTTTTCCAAGAAACTTTGGGCAAGAAATAGTCTAAAAAGGTGCTGCAGCAGTCTATAAATGCATTATGGCGCCAATAAAGAAAAAAAAGGTCCAGGTTGGTAATGGCAATCCAGCCTCTGGAAACGAGACCCAAACCCGCGACTCCGTGGCAAGCAGCAGAAGGCAGTGCATCTACCGAGACACATCCCTACGGGTAGCGGGATTGAGCCTACTATTGCGGGCAACATTCAAAATTATTTCAAGCAATTCGTACCTAAAACTAAATCCTAGGGCACTGCGAAATTAGGCAACACTGGTAAACACGGACGCTGTAAGTAAGGAGGTTTATGAGCGGACGTTTTTGCAGTTGGAAATACCCAGGTTTTGCAAGTTCCCGTGTCAAAAAGCGGTGTGGCAGCGCTACATCTTCATTTTCTTGCTCTGTCTTCGCCTGTAGGCGCAGAAACCTTTACAAAACGCGTCGTTTCGTCAAAGGTGGCAGTGTATTTTCAGCCGAGTGCCTATTTTGGTTGTCGCGATGAGCAAGGTCGACGATAAAATAAATTACATCGCAATGTTCGTGCGTGTAAACGCCAATGGTGTGAATTCGGACGCTCGTGAAATCACGGTGCAGTTGCGAAGTGTCTTCACTGAGCGTGTGATCTCTATAGCCGATGCTCCTGCACTGCTGGCTTTTTACCGACGTGCGAACACTCACCAGCCATTCATTTTGTAGCGCCTCAATGCGCCGCTCGTCAAGGAAGAAGAAGTTGGCATTTGGGCCGCGCGGCGGGGGCAGCGCGAATAAAAAAAAAAATCAGTTCGAAAACTGAACGCTGTCAAGGCTGGATCTTTCCCGTGTTAGCTCCGACAGTTAATGGTGACCCGATAAAGAACACACAGCCCCGATCATCCCACATGGATCCCGCCGGCTCTGCCACCAATCCTACCGGTCCTGACGCCCAAGAAGACGCCATACCTAGCGGTGCTGCAGTCGCTGCGATTCAACATGTCAACCTGCCACCATTTTGGCCCAACAGCCCCAGCATATGGTTTCTGCAGGTCGAGGCGAACTTCCGTCTACGGCAAATCACCAGCCAACAGACCAGGCACTGGCATCTGGTATCCTGCTTACCTCCGGACGTAGCCGACGACTTAGCTGATATTTTAGCGTCGCCGCACCCGAGCCATCCCTACGACACGTTGAAGGCAGCCATCATTTCCCGCAAGTCTGAGTCCGAACACAGCAGACTCCAACAGCTCATCACGGCTACAGAGCTCGGTGACCATCGCCCATCACAGCTCCTGCGACGCATGCGCCAGCTCCTTGGCGGCCCCTCCGCCCCTCAAGAGGAGAAGCTGTTACGTGAGTTGTTCCTCCAGCGCTTACCGCAGAGCATGGTCCCGGTCCTCGTAGCTGCAGGAGATGTCCCAGTAGACACACTCGCTGAAATGGCTGACCGAGTGGCGGACTACTCGCGGGCACATAGCCTCAACGCCGTTACCACACCGCCACCGGCCACCGCTGCAGACCCGGCGCTCGCGAGCATCGAGAACCGTTTGGACGCCCTTGTCAGGCGCCTTGATGACTTTGTACCTGCGCATCGTCAACCGTCATCCAGGTTCCAGATATACACAGTCGCTCCTCGACGCCCCCACGTTCTCCGGAACTTCGGCCACCCGACGCACTGCGGGACGTTTCATCCTCAACCGTGTGCTGGTACCACCGCCGATTCGGTGCCTCTGCTCGCAAGTGCACTCGCCCATGCTCCTGGTCGGGAAATGCGACGACCGGCCACTGACGGCGGCAAGTGGTACTGGTCGAAAGTCATGCCGCCTTTTCTATGTTTCTCATAAGATCACTGGCGCTTGCTTCCTAGTCGACACAGGAGCCCAGGTTAGCGTCATCCCGGCCTCGTGTGCAGATCGCCGTCGCAACGAACAGACCTGTCCCCTCCAAGCGATCAACAATTCCGCCATTCGCACATACGGCCAACGCTCTCTTAAACTTTACCTTTTCATCCTGGCTGACGTCTCGCAAGCTGTTCTTGGAGCTGACTTCCTCAGTTTTTCAACCTTTCTGTGGACATACAGGCTCATCGCCTCATTGATCTCAACACCCGCCTCTCCATCAATGCTATATATTCCCATCAATGCTATATAGGTATACGTGCCGCGGCAGCTGTCACAGCTGTCAATCAGCAACAGTTACCAGGTGGCACCGTTTATCAAACACCGATTGCCTATAGTGCGACACGGCGAAACGTAAACATTACGCAGCGAAGGATGAGGCGGTTACGGTACACTGTGCGCAATAACAGGGTTTCGTGCTTCATATTCGGTGTGGCCACAAGAAGAGGCGGAGGGAAACAATGATTATACTACCTGGACCAGACAAGTTACCGCGTAAACGAACACTAGCTGTCTATTAAGATAATGAAATGGCTAATTTGCTCACTCGCTGCCTGCAGCCTCTGCATGCCAGGCACGATTTCAACAGACTGAAGACGCCATGGTACGTAGCAAAAACACGCGTTCTTGTCAAGTTCTGGAAGCTTTGTTCATCCAGATGCAAAGTGATAAGTGATAAGATGCGTGAGCGAGGTCTCGGTATCGCTTTTCGATGCAGAAATGTCCTTTTTTGATGGATAAGGTGCGTTAGCGCTTGATACGTTTGTGCGCGCCATGCACAGTTCTATTCGGATTGCCTATCTTATCTGACGCTCTGCGGTCAATAAAAACTGTTTGCAGTTTGCGGTCGATCGATTCGCGCGTGTTTTCTGTGGTGTTCTTTTTTCGAGCTTAGCGCAATTATGTTCCTGCATAGGATCAACCAACTATCGCCCCTCGCGAGTTGCTGGTCAATGATTACTAACCGCTAAAGAATGATGGCAGGAAACTGTAGTCGCCAAATATTGATTGAATAATGCAACCATACATGATAACAGGAAACTATAATTGTAGATTTGCGTATAGATAGGGAATTAGAACAGCGAACAAAGACGCAAGCGACAGCGCTATTTTAAGTAAAGCCAGCTTATAAAGAGCTCATCATGGCATTTTCCCAAGGGATAGGAAAGACAACATGAACAAAATGCCCAGTCGACGCAGCTCCGCTGCTCGTGCGTGACCAGAGGATATGCTTCTGAGAAACGACCGGTCCTCAACCCAAACTGTCTCGAGCACCGCCTGCCCAACCCGACCAAGATCGATGCGCCGAAGACGGGACGAACTACGCCAAACGTCACACACCTTCTCGATACGAAGGCGGGCCATTACGGGTCCTTCATTTACCCCCCCCCCCCCCCCAACTCGTTTTCTTTCTCTTTGTTTAACATCTTTGCCGGTGATGCGTGTGATCGCCACACCTCCTGGTGCCGTGACTGTACCGTAAGATCGACTGAAACATGCCTTTCCTTCATCTTTTGGCCCAACGTTTCGTCTCGACACACATCAACGCTCAGAATACAAAAACGGAAGGAACATGTAGAAGGACAGGGTAAGCGCTGCCTCGAAATAATTCGACTTAAAAGCGTTAGCACCAACTGCAAATACCTCCCCCCCCCCCCACAACACACACACACAACACCGTTTCTATACTTTCTTTTCTTCACCACCCTTTTCCCTAACCTAACGCTGAGTACCCGGTCAGATTAATAATTCAGGCCGGCCTATTATCTTTTCTCTCATAATAAGCCTCCTCTTCCCTCAAACAAAATATGACTTCGCCCCTGCAGGCACACTGGACTAAACAAGAGCATTACTTCATCTCGCCGAGTTACAGCTATACCGAGAGCAAGCGCGAGTACGTTGCTGTATATGTACCTTTCCAATTCTTGGGCCGGGCGTAGACCACTCCGTAGTGACGCGCGTGGACGCACTCGAAGCGGCACACGTGCCTGTAGCTGCCGTGAGGCAGCGGCGACGGACCGGGCCAGTTCGGTTTCGATTCGGCCATGAATTCCAGCTTCTCTTGCGATATGGTGCTCGGAGTGCGCAGCGGAGACACGTCCACGGTCTCGCAGCCGCTCAGCGAGATCTCGGACGGCGGCGACGTCTGGGAGGACGGATAAGCTGCAGTCGGCTCAACGAAAGACGCCGGCGAGAATCCGCGCGACTCGGACGACGAAGGGTGGACATTGTGGGACGCCGGCTGCTTCTTCTTCTCGAAAGGTCGTTGACGCTGCCGGATCTGGGATCGCTTCTTCTCGGGCTGTGACAGCGTTCGGTCTTGGGCGCTACGACACTTCTCGGGAAGCGACACCCTGCGCTTGATGGACGACGCCGATTCCGACGACGTCTGACGTTCCAGGCACGACGCACGCTGTTTGTGGGACGCCGTCTGCTGGGAGGACTCCGCTGCCGACCCTGTCGCTTTCGACTGCTGCTGCTCTGGAGACGGTCTCTTTGGCGAAGACATGGGCGCATCGGGGCGACGATCGACGCGAACCAACCGCGCGACGCGACGCGCGACCGGGATCTCCCGGACGGCGAAGGAAGGAAGGAGGGGCCCTCGACGACGTCGTCAAGCCACTGTCGCCGCCGCCCGCCCATGCGACGCAGCGCGGCGGAGTCGGGCGCGCGAACGCGCGTCTTTCGCTCGCAAAGATGTTGGCCGCCGCTTCCTTAGGCCGCCGCCATGTTGGTGATGATGATGCTCCTTGGATGATTGGCACCTACCCACTCGAGGGGGTCGGCCAATAAGGGGCCGGCCCTTAAAGCCGTCCCCAACTCTCTCCTGTCAACTGAGTGAATAAAGTTTACTACCTACCTACCTACCAATAGTAAGGCAATTTATATGGTCTTAATTGCGTTTTCGAAGTGTTGATAGGGGTTGCAGAAACAATTATAATGATGCGTTAATGCATCCGAATTCAAGCTCAGACGGTGTTGCGCAACCTCCCAATGACCAAAAAGATGACATTATGCGAAATTATCAGAGGTCGATAGAGCGAATAAATCGATTCGACTTGCACATGAACTCTCTACACAACTGTATATATTTCTGTGCGAGATGATGATGACGATGATTCTTAAAGGGCCAGTAAACAACCCCAAGGTCCCAAAAATGTTGTAAAGAGAAATATGCGCACTTTTACTTCGTGAACATGGTCCCCAACGATTTTGCGAATACGTGCTATTTTAAGGAATTTACAGGGGCTAGAACATCGCGTTCAGCTGTTTTCAAATTTTCGCGCGGCCTCACCACCCTTCTCCTTCAGAGGGAGGGAGAAGGCGTGGCCCGTCATCGTGACTCCGCCCACTTCGGCATTGGGACAAGACGTCAGCGTATGACGACATCGACGAATTCGATCTGTCGCAACGCACTTGCGCTTGCTGCGATGCTTGGTTCTTTACTGTTCACCCGGTGCCGATGCTTTTTCGCAGCCCAGTTGCTCGATTTGCAGCCGGTAACGATTTGCAGCAATACTGCGCGTTCCCAAACCAGGACATGAAATTGGCCCGGCCTTTTGGGGGGGTTCCAATTTTTTTTTTTTTTTTTGGAGCAGACTGTCGCGCCATCTGGGAACAGGAACACAAAACACAAATAATGCGTTCAGCAGTGGGTGTGCTGATCAGCAGGTGGCGCTACAATCTGCTCACTCCCCGAAAAATGGGTCAGTGATGTGTCCCGATTTCGATACATGCAGCCTATGGGAAGTTTCGCAACTCGATTGATTGAATAGCTCTGTCGTAGCTGTGGGTGGTAACAGGAACTGTCGTTGACTTCACTACTGTTTGTTGAGACATGGTTTAGATTAATCGAGGAGCTGCGCGCTGCGTCACGTCGCCGAGTTGTCGTAACTGCGCGTGCAAGGGGCATTGGTCAGGCGTAGAAAAGTAGCGCGAGAATTGTTTTTCGAAAAGGAGGCCTAAGCGCGGCACGCAGCTCTGTAATATTAAGAAAACGTGATTGGTGCGGTCTACTCTACGAATTATCGAGCTTGTTTGGGGTGTTAAAAAGATCGGAGCCTGTTGAGTGACTTTTTATTACTATCCGCTTCGAAACATGGCGGCAACGCATGTGTTACCACATCGCCAACTTTTTTTTTTTTACTCAGGCATTGCTTCATTTAATGTACTCGAGCTTCACATCTCTTCAATAACTTTTTTTCTTTCCTTGCTCGGCACACAACAACCTATTTCTACGATGTACTCTTATCTAAGTCAACATAGCAACACCGTAAGTAGAGGTCGGAGGTTCGCGTGCCGGGCATGCCTATGCATAACTTTGACGAGACATGACGATAGTCATAGCGCGAGAACAGAGCGACGACACAGAAACAAGAAGGACGCGAAGTCTTGTCTCTGCGTCGTCGTTCTGTTCTCGCGCTATAACTATCGTCATGTCATACCAACTAGCCAGAGCTGCCACACTTCTAAATTTTACATGACGTCTCAGACAAGTTCCCTGAGTTGGGTACCTGAATATGGCGAATACCTTGCCATATGATCTCATTGCAGAGTGGCAAGGCAGCGTATGACAGAGAGTCGTTCAGTGGTTTTTTTTTTGAAGTTTATATTGTCGTTAATGCTCAATGAGCACGAATTCTATCGGCATGTTGGCTGACTACCCAGTACGAGGCGTGAACCACACCCTGGCAAAATGAACGAACGAACTTGGACACCAAGGGGGCGTTGCCTAACCTATGCAGAAAAGAAGTGCAAATTCAAGGGCTCGTTCATTTTGTCAGAAAGAATATTAATGAGAATTAACAGACAACGATGCCAGAGCAGAACGACATAGAGTGTTCGATTTCACGGAGCACAAATAATTATACGTGTGTATATCTCAGATGAATCGCGTGGTATGGGTTCCAGCAAAGATTTTTGAAATTAAGAAAAATAATGCTCCGAACTTTGTTTTAAGAGATGTGACGATAAAGAATTGAACAACTGAATGGGAGGCGCTGAGTAAACTAAAAAAAATATGTTTAAACAGTTTATTTACCTATAAAAGAACAAGCTATTCAAACTAAAGGCGCAAAAGTTTGCAAAATCTATCTATCTATCTATCACTCTGTGTGTGTGTGGGGGGGGGGGGGGGGAACTAAAGTATCCTTCCACATCACGGAGGAAGGAAAGGTAGGAGAGGGCATGTCCAGCCGGCGCATGGCGTAAAAAATGTGGCGGAAATTACGTCACAGCGGCCATATTTACTGGGCACAATGGCGGCGTTTTGTTATTGTTGATGTAGTGCGGTGCGGCACCGTTCAGGCGGCGCAGCGGCGGTGTGCACGTTTTCATGGGCCTCGCACCTAACCGTGGCGTACTGCAGGTGTTCGACAGCATCCATTCTTTGTGCCGCATTGTTAGCTACGCGATTTTCCTCCGGTGGTGGTGGTTGTAACCAGGTGTCTGAACTAGAAACCACGGAACGAGCGCGCGTATACGTACTCCGAATTTGCAGCATCCGTCAAAACTGTGTCTAGCCCACAGCCTGACCGAAAGTATTATAAAGCCTAAAAAGAAGCGCAAAAGGGGGGAAAGTGATCTGAAAGAAGCTGTACGAATTTCGGTGCCTGGTTCGTCGCGCGGCAATGTCCGAAATATCTTTATTTTCAGAAAGAACACATCAAATAAAAAAAGAGCTTCACGTGCAACTTGCCGTGTTTATCGCCGGCAGTGCAAGAGTACAACACCCATACGCAGAGATTTCGTCAACCGTATCGCGGCAGGACAGCGTGTTGAAATCCATTCCGTTGGTTTCGTATAGCACTGGCGCACGCGGCGCGCAGGCCACGTGCTTTTTGAGACAGAAGGGGAGTCACGCCTTCTGCTTCGCCTGACGATAGTTATAGCGCGAGAACGAAACGACGAGACAGAGACAAGAATGACACGAAAGACACCTTCTTGTCCTGTGTCGTCGTTTTGTTCTCGCGCTATAACTATCGTCATACCATACCAACTAGCCCAAGCTGCCACACTTCTGAGTTACGTTTCTGCTTCGCATTCATAAGTAAACAAGAGAGGAGATTTTGCCCAGTCAATATGGCCGACTTCCGGCTTCATCGCGGCTTCACAACGAGTGACGTCAGGGCCTCTCTAACCTTTCCTTCCTCCGTGTTCCACATCGACCTAATTCACAATAGTAGCCCCATGCGACACAGTCGCCATCTGCCTTCGACGCTCGCAAACCCCCAAACCAAGATCGACGACCTCAGAGAGTGAGTCGCTGCCTGCGCTGGCAGCGAGCGACAAATCTCTGAGGTCATGCACACGCGTCTACAATTCATGAGGGCGCCAACAGATGGCGCAGCCTCCTCCATAGCGCGGAACGAGACCGGCAGTTGAGGGCGCGCATGCGAGAGTGGTGAGAGCGGACGCGACGGACAGTCGCAAAAACTAAGCCGGATGACTGTGATGATTCGCTTTCAGCGTAGGAACGACTCTCCAGTCTTCCATTCATAATTCCTCATCCGAAATTACTTTTTTTTGTTTGTTTAGCGCGACTTAATGCGAACTGACTTGCATTGACTTAACCGACTTGAATGCAAACTGCGATTTTAGAAAATAGATTGTTCCGAAATTATGGAACATGCGAACACACACGAGTATAATGTGATATATCGTTACAAAGTAGCAACTCATTAAGCCAATTTTAAAGGGCTATGTTTCATTCAAACGAAAAAAAGGAAGATTTAAGGGACCGGCGCGATTGTTTCGCTTTCAACTCAAAATAACGTGCAGCAAGAAGTAAAGAGAAAAAAAGAAATCGTTTTTATTGTTTAGAGCTGGGTTGTTGTATAGCACTCAGAGTGTTTTTGTTTCGTATTTTGAGCTTCTATGAGATCATAACTCATTTATTCATGGTATATGAAGCATTTACAAACGTTTTGCACTTAAAACTCTACAAGCTGGGTTCGTTTTAGGGCCGATGTAACGGGGTCTTTTTATTTTACTTTTTTTTTTGGTCCCCATCTTAACATTTGCACTCACAGAGAAAGTGCTAACATCAAAGAAGTTGGGGCGCAATAGGTGCGAACTTGGAATGGAAGTGTACTACGTCACACCTGGTAGCACAACTTATACTGCAATCGCCACAAGATGGCAAGTTGGGCCAGTTGGATTACGTTCATAATTGAAAATTTCATTGAGGATGACTGCCAATTGGGCGTGTTGGCAATTGTTCATGATGAGACAAGCGCAAAAAATACACACACTCAGAGAGGACACAGACAAGCGCTTACCAGCAACTGAAATTTATTTCGAAGCGTACACTAATAAATGCATCACACGCATGAACGTCACTTCCCAAC